GGGAGAGGGAGAAGCAGGCTTCCCGCTGAGCAGGGAGCCCGATGTGGGGCTCGATCCCAGGACCCCGGGATCATGACCTGAGCCAAAGGCAGATGCCCAACGACTGAGCCACCCAGGTGCCCCTAGATAACTTTTCTTTTGGTGTTGCTTTAAGCTTCCCAAGGAAGAAAAAAGTATTATAAAATGCATTATACAGCCAATCTGAACACGAATATGACTATTTTCTATTATTGATAATTTTGTTAACCAGATTTCTTTCATTATATAGCAGTATATTAGTTATCTATTCCTGGATAACAAATTACACCAAAACTTAGGGACTTAAAACAGTAGACATTTATTATCTCGTAGGTGTTTTTGTGAGTCAGGAATTCATGAGCATCTTAGCTGGGTGATTCTGGCCCAGGATCTGTCTTAATGTTGCAGTCAAAATGTTGGCCAAGGATACAGTTATCTGAAGGCTGACCTGCAGCTAGAGCATCTGCTTCCAAGATGACTTACACACATGGCCATTATCAGGAGGCCTTAATTCCTTGCCACATGGATCTCTCCATAGAGCTGCTTGAGTGTCCTTACATGTCATCTGACTTCCCCCAAAGCAAGTGATAGAGAAATAGATTTCTTCAAAATAGAGAAAGAGGGGAAGCTGACTTCATCTTAGAAATGATGCAGTCATTTCCACCATATACTGTTTGTTAGAAGTGAGTTAACTAAGTCCAGCCCACACTCAGGGGGTGGGAAATTAAGCCCTACCTCTTGAGGGGAAGAGTACTGAACAATTTGTGGACATGTTTTTATACCACAAACAGGAACTCCAAAGGAGGCTACAGTGAAAAATACCAAAACAATTGTGTTTTAAAGGTATCTAATTTGGGACAGAAAGATATGATCTATCATGAATGTGTGGTTCAAATATTTTTTTTAAATTTTGTTTCTGCTCTCATCTTTGTTATTTTTTTCCTTCTATTGCCTTTGGGCTTTGTTTGTTCTTTTTCTAGCTTCTTTAGGGGTAAGGTTTGGTTGTTTATTTGATACTTTTTAAAATTTATCAAAGTAGGCCTGTATTGCTATAAACTTCCCTCTTAGAACAGCTTTTGCTACATCCCTAAGATTTTGGACCATTGTGTTTTCATTTTCATTTGTTTCCTGTGTTTCCTGTGTGGTTCAAAATGTTTAATGTGAGGAGTAATGGTGCTGTGACATATACTACATGGTGTCTCTCTTTAACCAGCTAATTTGTATTTTTCTGTCTAAAAAGGGACTCTGATGAACCCCTCTAGAGTACTGCCTTAGGCCAGTGGGTTGGATTATGAAAAATAGAGTTGTTTTGAAAACCGATTATAAGTTACTGTAGGATGTAATGGCAGGGTAAAACATTTGTCTTTCAACTTTTATAATAGCCCAAAAGGTAGAAGAAAGAAAACAGATAATGCAGTGGTATGCTACACATATTGTAGACAGACGAGGGTAAGGAAGGCCCGGCTAAGGAACTGAGCAGAAACTGCTCAGCCACATTCTGATGCTACCAGCCAAATTAATTATGCAGATAGAGACAGTTTCCAGGAGGGATTTTACCCTGAAGCCAAAAAAAGGTGGTCACAGCTGAGCTCTGGATCAAGGTTGTGCTGCATAGGGATGTTCTAGCCAATTTCCCAATCTTTATTACTGGGTGGTAGGCATAGAGGGTGTCCCTAAATGTTAGTCATTCCTATCCTGGAGAGCTTGGCTTGATAAATTGGAATGAATTTGAAGATCCCCTTTTTTTCCACTCTGTACCAGATTCTTTTCCTCATTCCATCTTGTTTCACATAACCGTGAAAGATAGGAATTATTATTCTAATTTGTTCAAATTGAGAAATAGAGTATTGAGAGATCAGGCACAAGCACCTCCTCATTCCCAATTAATATGTCTTTGTGCCTCCAGTGCTGTGCATGTGGTTAGTAATTGAAGTGGCAGCCCTAGGATTTTTCTCCCATTTATCTTAATACCACACCCTGTGCATCTTCCTGTTTGCCACTGCGCTTTTTACAAGCAAAATGAGAAAAGTGCTACCCCACAGAAAATCGGGTGGGGTGTGTAATCCAGGAATATGTGCTTTCAGAGGGGAGATCATCTTCCTGTGATGGCTGCAGTGAATAGTGGGAAACCCAACCAGGAACTCCTTGTGAGCTAGTAGAATAACTTCAGAACTAAGAAGATGGATGCCCACAAGCAGGTTCTACTCCCTTTGTGTCCTTGCCCAAGTTACTTAATTTCTTGGGCCTCAGTTTACCCATCATATAATAAGAATAATAAGACCTACTTTGTAGAATTTTTATCAGGCTTCAGTGAAAAAAATGTTAAGTCCATTTCTTTCTTCTCTGTTCTTTCCTTTCTCTATTTCATTTAGGGGTATCTTTTGTCACAGGAGTTGGAGGTTCACTTGAGATCTGGGTAATACTGGAAAGTGTCAAGAATTTAGCATTTTTTTCTATGGGCCCAGGTACTGCACTACTTTATAATGCATTAATTTTATGTAATCCTCAAAATGAACCTGAGAAGGGCTTAATGATTATTGCCCCACTTTACACATGAGGAAACTAAACCCTAGGGAGGCTTAAATAATTTCTATATAGGTGGTGATATCAAAGTCCCTACTAGACCCATGCTAGAACTCCAAATCTAGTAATCGGAGTCTTTAATTGCTAATGCAGTAAACAGCCCACTATACTAGCAGTTGACATATAGACTTTTGACATTCTTTATGTATAAAATGTAAAGATGTTCTGCTCTTTTCGATATGTATCATTTGGTTATGTTATAAATGCGTTTTTGCTTTTTTTAGAGTTCCTCTTCCTCAGCTAAGGAATATGATAGGAGATGTTGCCCAAACCTTAAAATTTATGTATGGTTCTTTAGATAGGTAAGTACTTCTGTGAATTGAATCTCAAGTTTTTGTTTATTTGTTTTTTAAAAAAAACTTTTAGTCACAGAGAATAAACTGATGGTTACCAGAGGGGAGGGACGTAGGTGAGGGGATGGGGGAAATAGGTGATGGGGATCAAGGAGTGTACCTGATGTGATGGTCACTGGGTGTTGTATGGAGGTGTTGAATCACACTATATTGTACACCTGAAACTAACATAACACTGTATGCTAACTATACTGGAATTAAAAGTTAATAAAAAAATATTAAAAAATAATGAAGATGGGGCGCCTGGGTGGCTCAGTTGTTAAGCGTCTGCCTTCAGCTCAGGTCATGATCCCAGCGTCCTGGGATCGAGTCCCACATTGGGCTCCCTGCTCAGCGGGAAGCCTGCTTCTCCCTCTCCCACTCCCCCTGCTTGTGTTCCTGCTCTTGCTGTCGTTCTCTCTGTCAAATAAATAAAGAAAATCTTAAAAATAATGAAGATATCAATGCTCATAAAAAATGAATCTCAAGTTTTAAGTGTATGATTCTTTTTTTCTTTAAACTGAAGATATTTCCACTTTTTTTTTTAAGGTTTTATTTATTTGACAGAGAGAGAGAGAGAGCACAAGCAGGGGGAGCGGCAGGCAGAGGGAGAGGGAGACGCAGGCTCCCCAAGGAGCAGAGAACCCGATGTGTGGGGCTCAATCCCAGGACCCTGGATTCAGGACCTGAGCCAAAGGCAGTCACTTAACGAACTGAGCCACCCAGGCGCCCCTAAGTGTATGATTCTAAATCCCTTTTGCACTTAATACTTTTCCTTGGTTGGCAAGTTAGTTATTTGGTTTTTTCTGATTCCTCTAATATTTTCATCCTTTATTACTGGCTTTATTTTATAGTTCTAGGCAGTTTTTCACTTGATCCATTGCTTTTTCTTTTTGATCTCATGTTAGTTTAGTGAAATAATGTGAAATAGTGATAAAACCACAATTATATTCTGATTTGACATATTTCTGTAGTAGCAAATGTACGAACATTTCAAAACAGATACAGAAGAGTGCGAATTTTTTAAATGTTGTGTTTTTCTCTGATTTTATAAGAGCATTGTCAAATTTACTATCCTAAAATGTGGTTCTTCTTAAAAAAAATTAGTAAAAAAATGCACTATTTAAATAAATAAATGACAGTAACAAAGGTATTGACTAGTTTCATGTGTATCATTTCATATATTTTCTATACAATATGAATACAGTCTACATACTTTTTTAATATACATGGGCTCATATTATGCGTATTTTTCCTGCTTGCTTTTTTAACCTTACGGTAAAATATGATGCATCTTTCTTGATCTGAAGAAGGCAATTTGAGGTAACTTCAACATTTCAACCCATAAAATTATGGATGAAAAATAGATTTTTCTGTTTGTGGGATTTTTGCTTTCAAAGCCCTAAGAGTATATCAATAGAAAAATCCAAAAACAGTTTATACGTTTTTCTAAACCATAGTGGTATCAGCTCTCTGTTTATCTATCATGGATCTTTGTTGTTGCTGTTCTCAAAGCAGCCTTGAAAGAATTTTCCGTGACTGTGCCATCGGTACTGTCTAGTTTGTAGAGTTCTCCCCCGAGCCTCTGAAGAGACATAGCCCTCTCAAACCCAATTACTAATTGGCATTTTCCAAACATGTGAACTACAAAAGGCCAGGCAGCCACAAACAGTGCTTTTACCTTCTGTTAAATAAGAAAATTTTTAACCAATGAAGAGTAAGGATATGGTTGTAAACTCCCTCCGTAAATTTACACTGGGTGAGCAAACCTTGCTATGTTTTGCCTTAATTAAAGCTTTATGTTTTCATAAAACCAGAGATAATTAAAGATTAAATTCCTGCAATGAATTCCATACTTTAAGACAATCAATTGGGGTTGTTCTGCAAGTTGCAATGGACTAGGTTAGGGGCAGAGGGACCCTTAATTTCTGTGAATTTCATTTTGAAATTTAGCTTCCATTGACTTGGAAGTATCACCAAATGGGCAGCAAATTTTAGTTTCTTCTTGTTCTGGTGAGAATTTGAAAGGCAAACTAAGATAGTAAATGTGACGATCCATTGAGTTCTTAAGACCAAGAAGCAATATGGATCCAAGATGTTGTTAGTAGTCATTTTGTAGCAATTTTTAATAAGGCTTTTTCTAATTATGAAAGATATTGAAGGCACATTGTGAAAAATTATGATAAGACTAAAAAGAATTTTTTTTAAGTTGTAAGCTGGTTATTTCCCTGTGAGGCATAGAAAATCGATTATATATTGACAAAGTTTAGTGTTGTGATCAAAGATATGTTTCCTTCACTATTCCCAGCCAAACTAGCAGCAAATTCTAAACACTCTGTCTCTAAAACATATCTCAAATCCATTCATTTCTCTCCATCTTCACTGTTACCCTGCCCAGCCACCAGCATCTCTCACTACTAAAACTAATCTAACTGGTTTCCTTGCCTCCGTTCTTGCCACTTTAATAAATTTCTAAATGCAATTAAAATTGATCTTTTTACAGGGGTGCCTGGGTGGCTCAGTCAGTTAAGCGTCTGCCTTCGAATCAGGTCATGATCCCAGGGTCCTGGGATAGAGCCCCACATCGGGCTTCCTGCTCGGTGGGAGGCCTTCTTCTCCCTCTCCCACTACCCCCCTGCTTTTGGTTCCTCTCTCTCTATCTTTCTCTGTCTGTCAAATAAATAAAATCCTAAGGAAAAAAAAGTGATCTTTTTACATTATAATCTGGCTCCTACACACCTTTCTGATTTCAGATCTGAAACCACAGTCTGTACTGTTCTGCGGGTACCCTGGCCAACCTTGTTCCCACCCTACAGCTTTTGTGCTTTTTTCTCTCACCGGATCTTCTTGGCATTGGGATCTCAGCTTAAATACCTATTCTCAAAGACTCTTACCCAACTTTTGATCTAAATTAGCCAACCAGTCACATCACCCATTCACATGATCCTATTCTCTGTATGGCCCTTTCTATGAGTTCATGTTTTTACTGTTTGTTCATTTGTTGTCTTTCTCCATCAGAATGTGAGCTCCACAGAAGCAGAGACCTTGTCTTTTGTCTTGATATTTTTACTACTGTACCTCCAACAGTGAGAGTAGTGCCTAGAACATAGTTGGCACTCAAGCTATTTGTTGAATGAATCCATGAATATTAGTCTGATGTATTAATGGTATATATACTAGTTATCGTGTTATCCAGAGGGCTATTCCAATGAATGGTTGCAGACAATGCTGTATTATTTTTACATGGCTAAAACCAAATGTTTAGTCTGTCTCCCCTTTCTCTCTCTCTCTCTCTCTCTCTCTTTGAGTTCAATAGTGTTGCCTTCATTAGTGAAGAGGGGAAAATTACTTGGGCTAATTATGTGCTTTCTGTATTCAGTAAGTAATAAACATAATAAGTACTTATTATGTACTAGGTACTTCACATGTGAGTCAGGTTGTATTATCCCCATTTTTAGAGATGGAAACAAAAGTTCGGAGAAAGGTTAGATGATCTTCCTGAGATACCTACTAGTGAAAGTAGTGATAAGAGTCAAAGCCAGATATGTTCTATTACAAAGCTCAAAATCTCTTTATTATTCCATCTTGCCTGAAAGATATTGGTAGTTTAAATGGTTAAGAGATAAGTAAAAGCAACTTACTTCCTCCCCCCCCAAAAAAGGGTACTTCCAGCCCATTCTATTGTAGATACACCATTTCTGTTAGCCCTGTGGTTCTTCCATAATACCATCTACTCAGTACATTTGAAAGTAGGTTTTTGGGTAAAAAATATTGACAGGATGAACTTCTTAACACATTCCATCAGTAACACAGCAGTAATTCTTCATAAGGAGTAAGGAAGAGAGCCTGTGTAGTTGGGAAAGATCCAGTCTCTTTAGGAGCATACAAAAGATAACCACCGTTTTCACATGTTCTGACTTACAGCTCTTGTTTCTTCAGTGCCTTTTGCCAGGTTGAGAATGTTCCTCGTTTGGATCATTTTTTCAACTTGTTCTTTCAAAGAGCACTTCAGCCTGCTAAACTACATTCCAGTGCCAGTCCGAGCGCACAACAATATGATGCTTCCAGTGCAGTGCTTTTAGATGGTCTTCCTGGAGTTCGATGGCTCACGCTTCCGCAGAAAATCAAGGTAATCTCGGGGGTCATAAATAAAAATCAGAACCAGTTGCCTTGTGATTTTTTATCTTCTCTCTTTTTTAGACTTTTTGTTATTTTCAGGATTGCAGGTAAGAGTTAAAAGAAGCCATTGGTTAGTGAGGTAAGAGCTCCAGTACAGTGAACTTAGAAAGATAAATATTTCTTTATAAATAGAAATTAGATCTCTCATCTTACTTTAACATTTAAGCATTTTCCAAACTTATAATGCATTTCAGAAATCATAATTATGTGGTATGTCTTCCTTTTTTTTGTTTGTCAGATGTTCTTTTTTTTAAATGTCATTTTTCCTAAGGTACACTGGAATAATTTAAGAGAAAAGATACTTTGTCTGTTGTCTTAAGGAATGTCAAGAAACATTACAGTAACCTTGTACATTAGCCTATAGAGTTCAATAGTGGGAATAGCAACCTCTAAACATTAACATTTGTGAGATCAAAATTCACAAGTGGGTAATTTTCTTTTTGTCCTTTAGCTTTTCACGAGAGAAACCATAGCCCTAAAAAGGAGTACATGAAATATTTGCTAGATGCAGAAAAATGTAGGTCACAAATGAGTAATAAGTCATAGTGTGTGAAAAGCATTGAAAGGCATGACTAATGTTTCCAAAGCTTTAGTCATCTCAGTAAGACACAGTTTGTGCAACAGTCCTGCAGAGAGTGCCTTGGTCTTTAAAAGAAAAAAAAAATTGATTCTTTTCCACAAATCACATATATGCTACAAGCTTTAATTGTCAATAGTTTTCAATTTATATATATGCATTACAGATTAAACTACAGATTAAATTTATTCTGTTTTTAAATTTTGAATGCTTCGTGGAGGAACAAATACATGAAAGAGTTCAGGCAATTTCCATAGAAACGAAAGCTAAATCCTAAGTAAGATTTTTCTAATAACTCTGTAGGGATGCTAAACTGTGCCAGATTCCAGGGGAACACTTGCCTTCATGTTTTAATCCATAAATAAAGAGAGTCCTTTTATATAGAATGTAAGAAAGACACAGGGAAGAATGTTGATATTTTCAAAGACTCTAACTGTTGAGAAATACACAGGAAATAGAGGGGGAAAAAAAGCCTCAAAATAGATTGGGTACATTAAGATTGATTATTTTTCTCTTAAGAATTTTAATAGGTTCAAAAATTTTCTAACTCAAAACTGGAAAGCAATTCTTTAGCCTCATAAATTATTTTGCATTGAATACAGAGTGAAGCTCATTTTGCAATAATCGAGATTTAACTGAAAAGTGACTGTATGTTAAATAAATTTTTTTCTGTAATTCCAAAGCTTAAAAGCAACATGTTCTGTTTTGGGACATTTCTTAAATATCACAAAGGAGAAAGATACTTACTCAATTCTTCAACTAATTATTAAGCACTTTTATGAGGCCATTACTAAACAAAAACTAATATGAGTTAAATGGTTTGTGTTACTTTTTTTTTCTTTTCACATAGATGGAACTAGACACAGCATTGAGCGACTTGGAGGCTGCAGATTTTGCAGAACTGGTGAGAGAACCAATGGATTTTAGGAAAGGCTCAATGTTGATTTCATATTTTATAAATCAGCCATTATTCTAAATATTTTTCAAGTGGGCATGTAATAATCTTGAACTATTTAGCATTGGGTCTCTATTTTGACATGAACAGAATCTATTTTGCTTGCCTTAAAATTTTCTACTCAGTTAAAAATATTTGTTACATAATGAGAGAAAGTACATACATTAATAGTAAAGTAAATAATTGAATTGTAATACTGAAGTAAGTAAAAACCCTGTAGATACAAATTTCAATTAGAAGTACCGGTATGGTTTTTAATCTTTTTTTAAAAAATATATTTCCTAGCTCTGTCCAATAAAAAGACCTAGAAATAGTGATCATCCCAGTAGTGATGAATGCCATTAGCACCCAGGCTATGGCATATAAATAATACTTCTCACTAAAAGGAACCAAGACTCCTAAGAGAAATGGCTGATTGCAAATTTGGGGCTGAAAATAATACAAGATAAGCCTGGCAACATCTTGTTATTTCAGAAATCCAGAAAGCTTTAAAAAATTACTGGGGTTAATGTAGGGTTCCAGTAATTAGGAGACAACTTGAAGAGGCTCACACTTGAGCATCTGTAAGTGTAATAACTGCAGCAGATTGAAACCCATCAGATATGTTGAAGTCCATGAGTTCATAATTATACTCAAGAAAAAAAGAAACTTCTTGGTCAACTTTGGAGGATGCTAGGGAACCAATTCATTACTGTGAAAACTGGCAACAAAGAGAAGGAAACAAACATTTATCTGCCCTTCTATCTGAACCATACCTGAAGGTTACCAAATAGAGATGAGGGGGAGTTCTCTTTATGGAAGTATTCTACTTACCATACCAAGAAAGAATGACAGAACTGGAATATTATCGTATTGCAATTTTCACAATGAATTAATGGGTCTAAGCAAAGGTCATCAATAGTTGTTGAAAAGGAAGATAGCCAAGTAGTATGTGGCTCATGATGGAAGCACACAAATTACCTATAAAATATTCTTGATGAGATCTCAAGATCTAACTACCACTATATACAAAATACTAGGGACGGGGACATGTTAAATGACCCCGTTTGGGGGGCGAGATTATAATCATCAAATCCAGACTAGGAAACACAATAAGACAATTTCTTCAACAAATAAAAGAGAGCAGGGAGAAACTGAGAGAGCCTATCAGTCACAAGAGACTTAAGAAACATACCAACCAATTTTAATATGTGGACCTTACTTGGATCCTGATTCAAACAAACAAAATTTTTAAAAACATCTACAAGAATTGTGTAAGACTGATGAATCACAGACCTGTACCTCCGAAACAAATAATACATTATATGTTGTTTAAAAAAAGAAAAAAAAAGAAGATAGTAGGAAGGGAAAAATGAAGGGCGGGAAATCAGAGGGGGAGATGAACCATGAGAGACTATGGACTCTGAGGAACAAACTGAGGGTTCTAGAGGGGAGGGGGGTGGGGGCATGGGTTAGTCTGGTGATGGGTATTAAAGAGGGCACGTTCTGCATGGAGCACTGGGTGTTATACGCAAACAATGAATCATGGAACACTACATCAAAAACTAATGTAATGTATGGTGATTAATATAACGTAATAAAATAAAATTTAAAAACAACATCTACGAGACAAGGAAATATAAACACTGATGTTGGATATTAGGTGAGAATAATTTTTTTAAATCCTTCTGTTTTAGAGATATACTCTGAAGTATTTACAGATGAAATCATATAACATCCGTTACTGGTTTTGAAATAATTCAGCAGGGAGAGGGAAGAAGGAGAGAGGGATACTGATGAGACAAGATTAGCTATGTACTGGTCATAGTTAAAGCTGGGTGATTATGGGCACATAAGAGCTAATTACACGATTCTATATTTGTATTTGCTAAAATTGTCAGTAAGAAAAGTTCTCTTAAGGGGCGCCTGGGTGGCTCAGTTAAGCATCTAACTCTTGGCCTCAGCTCAGGTCTTGATCTCAGGGTCATGAGTTCAAGCCCCACATTGGGCTCCACGTGGGGCATGGAGCCTACTTAAACAAAAGAAGAAAAATTCTTTTAAAAGTAAACGGTCAGGGGAGAGGGGACCTGGGTGGCTCCGTTGGCTAAGTGACCTGATTTCAGCTCAGGTCATGATCTCAGGGTGCTGGGATGGTGCCCTGCCCCAGCCCTGGAGGGAGTCTGCTTGAGGATTCTCTTTCTCCCTCTGCGCCTCACCCTCTCTTTGCGTGCGCATGCTCTCTCTCTCTCTCAAATAAGTCTTAAACAAAAGGTAAACGGGAAATTAGGATGTAGAAGCAGTGAGGGCTGGATCATAAGAAGATTACTGGTAAAATCTTGATTGCTTTAAAGAGTACCTTAGTCTTTTTTTTTTTTTTAAGATTTTTATCTTAAAAATTTATTATTATAAGCAGGGAGAGCAGCAGAGGGAGAGGGAGAAGCAGGCTCCATGGGGCTCCATCCCAGGACCCCAGGATCATGACCTGATCTGAAGGCCGACACTTAACCCACTAAGCCACCCAGGTACCCCAAGAGTGGCTTAGTCTTAACTAAGATCCTGAGCAAATGGAAGCATATATTGTTTGTAAAAATAATGGAAACTTAAACGTGGTGAACTCCTCATAGGTCATAAATCTTTTCACTGAGGGAGAATGTTTAGATAGACACTAAGCATTAGGAACAATTTAAAGTATTAAAATATCCAGGTTTTAGGAACTTATATCTGATAGGTTTCATTAAAACTCTAATTTCTGGTTTATATAACATCACTTTAATGATCAGTGGAACTAACAATATTTTCTATGATTAGACAAAGATCTATTAGGATTCCTTGGATACAACATCAAGACACAATCTATAAAGAAAGAAGAAAATTGATAAATTGAGAATGTAAGGTGGTACAACTACTTAGGAAAACAGTTTGGCAGTTTCTTAATAACCTAAATATATACCTACCACATGATTCAGTCATTCTGTTCTTCCAATTACCCAAGAGAAATGAAAGCCTATGTCAATACAAGACCTGTACACAAATATTCATAACAGCTTCATTTGTAATAGCCAAAAGAAAACTGGAAACAATTCAAGTAACTCAAGTGTCCATCAGTGGGTTAATAGACAGACAAATTGTGGTATGTTCATGCAAGGGAATACTACCCAGCAAAAAATTTGGCGGCAGTATTGATGGAATTGTTGATATATCTTGATTTGGATGATACTTAACATAGCTATACACATTTGTTGAAACTGGCAAAATAGGGGAACCTGGGTGGCTCAGTTGGTTAAGTGGCCTACTCTGGGTTTTGGCTCAGGTCATGATCCCAAGGCCCTGGGATCAAGCCCTGCGTTGGGCCCCACGCTCATCGTGGATTCTACCTGAGGATTCTCTCCCTCTCCCTCTGTGCCCTTCCCCTCCTCTGTCTCTCAAATAAATAAATAAATCTTTTTTAAAAATTGGCAAAACAATTCACAGTGAATTTTACCTTAAAAAAATGAAAATAAGGGTCTATTCTAAACTTTCTGTGAAATTAGATTTAAGATTTAATCTTCCATCCTAATTTTGTTTTCTTTAGTTTTAAAAATTATTAAGGCATAATTTATACTTGGTAATAAATTCTTCTGTGCACCTTTATAGTCAACCCATCTTCCTACCTCCAGCCCTTGGCAACTATTGATTTGTTTTTTGTCCCCAGAATGTCCTATAAATTGAATTAGATAATAGGTAATTTGGGGGGGCCTGACTTAGTTCACTTAACATAATGCATTTGAGATTCATTCATGCCATTGTATACATCTGTAATTCAGTCCTTTTTATTGCTGAGTAGTATTCCATTGTATGAATGTATCACACTGTTTTTCCATTTCCCAACTGAGAAATAATTAGGTTATTTCTAGTTTTTTAGTTTTCCTTAGGTTTCATTGCCTTTTTTATTTTTAAGATTTTATTTATTTGACAGAGAGAGAGAGCACAAGCAGGGGGAGCGGCAGACAGAGAGAGAAGCAGGCTTCCCACGGAGCAAGGAGCCTGATGTGGGGCTCGATCCCAGGACCCTGGGATCATGACCTGAGCCAAAGGCAGACGTTTAACCGACTGAGCCACCCAGGCGCCCCTCGTTGCTTTTTTTTTTTAATTACAAAATTAATACATGCATATTGGGTAAAATACAGGTGTGATTATTAAAAACAAATGTCCTACCTCCTCATCCCCCTCTCCCAGTTCTATCCCTAATTGTAACTGTTCTTACAGTTTTCTTACAGTTTGAAACATATTCTTCCAGACTTTTTTCTATACATGTATGTACATAGGTACATACACAGCAGCACACATGTATACATATACATGTATATCATTGAGGGTGCTATTCTTTTTTAAAAATTAGATCATAGTAAATATTTTGTTCTGTAGCTTGCATTCTTTGCTCAGCAGTATACCCTAAAACCTTTTGTGCCTGCTCATATAGATCAACCTTATTTTTTTAACAGACCTATGATAGTCCATGGTATGAACATAACCTAATTTTATTAACCATTCTCCATTGTTGCACTTGACTTTATCTCCAATTTTTGCATATTACAAATAGTTCTGCTACTAACTTTTTATATACAAAAATCTTGATTCTCCTGTTTGAGCATTTCTGTAGATTTTTAGAATTACTCAAAGGGTATATTGAATTTTTTATATATATACTAATTAGTTGCTACCAAATAGGTTGTATCAAATTTTACTTTCAAAAATATTATTTGGAAATTTAAAAAAATCATTCAAAAATATTACTTGGTAGTATGGGATATTTTAGATGATGTATAGTAGAAGCTTTTTGTCTTGATAGACATGTTTTAATCCCTCTTGCAGTAACTAATCTTATGTTCTATTCTTAGAGGTCTCTAATCAACAGTATCTTAAAAGATAAAAAATAAAATTGTTTTCAGTCCAAAATACATGCACATTATCTTTCACCCTAATACCCTGGTATATTCATTTCTAAAGAAGGCACTATGAAAAGTTCAGTTACGAAATAATATAATTGCCATTTTAACCATTGTAGCCTAAGATTTTTTTTTATCATGAAAAAACAAAGAATATAAATCCATTGTGGTTTTTCTTCTCCAGTCTGAGGATTACTATGACATGAGGCGGCTGTATACAATTTTAGGATCTTCTCTATTTTACAAGGTAAGTTGAAGCTTGAAATTTTTATAAATGTCCAACTGCTATATGAACAGACCTAAAGTGAATTTTCTCAAACTTCTACAAACATGAAAAATACATTTATCCCTTTTCCTTTGAATGTAGTTACCGTTAAATTATTTTAAAAAAAAAAGCTGGTACCTACGTATTTACGAATACAATAAATATTTCTGATTTTATGACATTCTAAAGCATTTGCAAATGTGTAAAGGAGAAACAATACTCAAGGAACCAAATGTGTAATAGAGAAAAGCAATACTTTCTTGATTTATTTTTGCAACAGTGCACTTTTTTTCTTATCTTCATACATAAACATGTATCTTTTTAGTAAATCTAACATTTAGTTGACTTCCATATATGGCAAATTAAGCATCAAATGAATTTAAGTATTTTCATATTTCAAGATTTTTAAACACAATTTAAAAACATATCTAAAGAAGAATCCAACAGTACAGAGTGGTACACAGTGAACACAGTCCTCACCTTACCTCTTGCTTCTCTTCTCCATTTTCCATCCTCAGAATTCAGTTCTTTTCCAATGTCGCCACTCAGGCTTATACTACCCAGGTGACCTTGCTTGGTGCTAAAGTCTATCTCTTGTTGACTTATCATAAATCTTCGATCTCTAATTGACCTCAGGAAAAAAAAAACATTTATTTTTACTATGTCTTTATTCCATTTGAAACTGGAGTATTTTAAGACAACTGAAGTACTCTTAGAGTACTTAGAAATATATTATGGCATTATTGCTTTATATCACTAGTTGACTTTTGTTCTTTGTGGTTAAATTCAAGGGTTATTTGATATGCAGTCATTTGCCTAAGGATGATCTTATTGATATTGCTGTGTACTGTCGCCACTATGGCCTACTGCCTTTAGCAGCAAAACAAAGAATTGGTCAGTTGGTTATATGGAGAGAAGTGTTTCCGCGACATCACCTCCAACCTTCTGCAGACTCAAACACTGAAGTCTTTCAGGAACCTGAAGGGAGATATTTTTTGCTAATTGTTGGATTGGTAAGTTTACCTTGGTTTCTGTGTGTGTGTCTGTGTGTGTCTGTGTTTTGGGGTTGGATTTTTTTGGCCGTTTACTATCTAAATATATACACAAATGAACATAATAATTTACAATTATGAGCATGTCACATACCAGTATTCAAGAAAATGTTATATGTCCCTTATTCCTTTTCTTTTGCATCCATTTAATACTCATGGAGAAATATTAATGAAACCCAGAATAAGATTTTATCAGGTTCTTAAGATCTTTTGTTTTCATTTCTATAGTGGTTTTGTCCTCTGGTTTGTCTTGGGAAATACAGACATGAAAAGGATATAGAATCAGAATAAACATGTCATTGTAAATGAAAGGACTTCCAATAACTGTGGCTCTTTGAAAACTACCTTGTGCCATGTGCCAGAAGTGATAGTTGATGGTATACCAGGAGAAGGCAATATGAATGAATATTTGTTTTCAAGGATGATCAAGGGGCACCTGGGTGGTTCGATCGTTAAGCGTCTGCCTTCAGCTCAGGTCATGATCCCAGGGTTCTGGGATCGAGCCCCACATCGGGCTCCCTGCTCCACGGGAAGCCTGCTTCTACCTCTCCCACTCCCCCTGCTTGTGTTCCCTCTTTTGCTGTCTCTCTCTCTCTGTCAAAAAATAAATAAAATCTTTAAAAAAAAAAAAAAGGGATGATCAAGAAGCATTGAGAATAATTAACAAAGAAAGGGAGGGAGGAGTTTTTAATAATCATATGATTATGTCATATGTTTTTAGTATTCATAAATTTATACATGCATGCTACATATAAACATTTTCATGTAGCTAAACCTGTATTAATATTTTTTTCTTATAGAAGCATTATATGTTATGTGTACTATTAGAAGCTGGAGGCTGTGCATCCAAAGCTGTTGGGAATCCTGGACCAGACTGTATCTATGTGGATCAGGTCAAAACAACTCTTCACCAACTGGGAGGAATAGACTGTCACATCAATGAATGGCTAACATCTTCTCCAAGCCCCTGTTTGTCTTGTGCTGACTGGTTCCTTACTGGATCACATGAAAAATTAGATAATTTGACAACCTCACCTATCCTCAGTAGGCTACCAGTTACTTCCAAGGTAGCAACCTCTCCAACATGCAGAATTCTTTTTGGTGACTATTCCTTAAAGACACGTAAGCCCAGTCCTTCCCGAAGCAGTGGAGGATCTGACAATGGCTGTGAAGGTGGAGAAGGTGTTGGCCTGAGCCCCCACACTATACCCAATGCCGTATGGAAACAAAGAGAATCTCAGGGCTCTGATGGTTCAGAAGAAAGTGGGGCCTTGCTTAAGGTGCATGTTCATTCAAATGTGTACATTCTGGGAGTTAAGCTGTCTTTTAAGTTCTTATTTTATAAATGCAAGAAATTTTTTTTATATTCAGTTAGCCAACATATAGTACATCAGTTTTTGATGTAGTGTTCAACGATTCATTAGTTGTGTATACACACCCAGTGCTCATTACCATATGTGCCCTCCTTAATACCCATCACTCAGCTACCCCATCCCCCCACCCCCCTCCCCTCTGTAACCCTCAGTTTGTTTCCTAGAGTCAAGAGTCTCTCATCATTTGTCTCCCTCTCTGATTTCTTCCCATTCAGTTTTCCCTCCCTCCCCTGTGGTCCTCTGCACTATTCCTTATGTTCCACATATGAGTGAAACCATATGATAATTGTCTTTCTCTGCTTGACTTATTTCATGTAGCATAATCCCCTCCAGTTCCATCCATGTCAATGCAAATGGTAGGTATTCATCCCTTCTGATGGTTGAGTAATATTCCACTGTATATATGGACCACATCTTCTTTATCCATTCATCTGTTGAAGGGCATCTCAGCTCCTTCCACAGTTTAGCTATTGTGGACATTGCTGCTGTGAACATTGGGGTGCATGTGCCCCTTCTTTTCACTATATCTGTATTTTGGGGATAAATACCTAGTAGTGCAATTGCTGGGTAATAGGGTAGTTCTATTTTTAACTTTCTGAGGAACCTCCATACTGTTTTCCAAAGTGGCTGTACCAACTTGAATTCCCACCAGCAGTGTAAAAGTGTTCCCCTTTCTCCACATCCTTGCCAACAATTTGTTGTTTTCTGTCTTGTTAATTTTAATGCAAGAAAATTTTTAATGGCAAATCATTCTTCATTTGAACTAGTGGTATTTTTGGTTACTGTTGGCAAACCAGTGATTCAGAACCAAAAAGAGAAAGAAATCTAGAGTAATAAAATAGTAGCATCCAGGACAGCTGTTTGAAACTACTTACAAGTAGGGAAATGGCTTAATTCTGCTTTCCCTGTTCATCTTCCTTCTGTATTCACAGTGTTAACTGAAAACATCGTAGTTGTGGGAGATTTTAGAGGGCTGATCTGACTAAGTAACCAATAAAATATTCAGCAGAAACAAAAAGAAAATCAGAAATTTATATATAAATGTAAAAATATATATATAAGTATATATGTGTAAATATTTGTGTGTGTATGTGTTACTCTACAGGTTTTTATAGGGTTTTTTTGTTTTGTTTTGTTTTTATCTGCATCTGTGAAGGTCTGGTCTCCATAGTCAAGAATTTAAAATGTGATTATAAAACAAAGAGAATGTTCATTTTTCAGATTGTTTTTATGATTTTTCCATGTTTTTTCCTCACGAAAATACCATAACATATCCAAATGATCATCAAAGTAATCACCCTGGGGGATCTTATACTTACTCTGATGATGCTTCTCTTTCAAAAAACTTTTGAAACTGTCATTTGGGCTGGTGGAGGTGATGCCAACAAGGCAGGGAGAAGGAGGAATCTGAGAAGGGGCACAAATAAGACATGAGATTCTGAGTGTCATGGCATAAATAGCCATAGATTCCATCTTCTAATTCCAAACAATACAGTACTCTTGGAGCCCTAAGTGGTTGTATTTAGGAAATACATTCTTATTCATTATCCCAGTCAGTGAAATTGGTAGGAAGTATAATTTAGGAGGTAATAGATTTAAAGAGCCATGAATTGCTCTTAAGAGAAATTGAATCAGGGCGCCTGGGTGGCTCAGTCAGTTAAGTGTCTGCCTTCAGCTGAGATCATGATCCCAGGGTCCTGGGGATCGAGCCCTGCATGGGGCTCCCTGCTCCGCAGGAGGCCTGCTTCTCCCTCTCCCACTCCCCCTGCTTGTGTTCCCTCTCTCACTGTGTCTCTCTGTCAAATAAATAAGTAAAATCTTTAAAGAAAAAAAAAGAGAAATTGAATCAATCTCTATGATTGAGCCATTAAACAAATTTGAACATCTACTCTGTGCCAAGGGCCATGCTACACAGAGGAGATACAAAGCTGGATAAGATACAGCCCATGCCTTTGAGAAGTACAGTCTAGAGAGGGAGGCAAGTACATATACATATAAAATGTAACAAAACTTGATAATGGCTCTGGTAGGTTTTCAAGAAGAACTATCATGTCCTAAGACATGGCCCTGAGATCACTGTTAGCAAAGGATAAACCAAGAGGTACAAGTTAGCATCAAAAATATTTAAAGGAAACATTGCAAATTAGTAAGTAGTTCTCTTAGAAGTATTTTCAGTTTTTACACTATTTCTGCTGTTTGATTCCATTCTTAGATACAAACTGATCTACTTAACTGTATTTTTCAGGTCACTAAAAAGAAGGCTACTCTTCCAAATCCATTTCATTTGGGGAACTTGAAAAAGGACCTTTCAGAAAAAGAACTGGAAATATATAACACAATGAAGTAAGAAACTTCCATATAATACTCTTTTTCACTTAAACATCGTGTATTTGAGAAAATTTTACAATAAGAAAGTACAAATCCATACCATATAGAGATTTAATTAAAAAATGTAATTATGATATATCTTAACATTATTAAAGATAGTGTGTATGCTAATTTACTAATGTTTTTCATTGCACGTATAGGGAATATGTACTCCTATTACAAAAGATAAAAAAACAGAGTAATGTTTCAAAATGTGAAAGTCCCCCTTTATCTCTTTTCCACAGGTAACCTCCCTTTTGTATGTCTAATTTTTAAATTATAGAATTTACTATTTTTAGACTTTGGTGGATTCTGTGGTCTACTGCCCAGATACCCCGTAGCCCAGGGTACTCCTTCCCAGTGCTGGGGGTTGGGGGGTAATGGGTGTTAACTACTTACAGCTGAGTCCCTCACTGGCCTTGCTCTCTTTGGAAGTTTATTGACTCAGCCAAGATTACAGTATCTCCCTGGGAATAGCCCACATCTAGTGACTAATAGATAAGTGAATACAAAGACTTGACAACTCTAAAAGGCCATCCAGGCTTCAGAGTTCCAAGTAGTATCTTGCTGAGACCTTTGTTTTGACTGCAGTGTGGTTCAGCTTCTCCTTTGCTCAATCCTGCTTCCTTCACATGTCCCCCCACAGGTGTTGTTCCCCAAAGTTCTCCCTAATAAACTTGCTCGCTGCATATCTCTCAGAGTCTCTCATTTTAGAAAAGAGATGAAACTTCAAACTTACATTAAGTAGGGAATTCTGAAGTAAAAGGAACTGAGTGAGAGGAGCATTTTCAGCAACTTAAGTTATCTATAATTATTAAAATATAAAATGTTGCATATTCACTTTTTGTGTAGCTATTATGTGGTGACAAGCAGATCTGTCTGAGCTTTGCCTGATGTTTAATTATATCGTGTGGGATCAATTAGTGTATAACAAACACAATTGCACACTTTTATTTGAACAAGCAGACATGTACAAATAGAAATCATACAAAAAAGTTCAGCACTATGACCTTCTTAATCATTGAAACATTTTATAGTAAGTTTAAATATGTATGTCACAGAGTTGTCAGAAACAGCTTTTTTTCTGAAGTTAAGGCAAAAACAAGGTAATTTGATCTAATGTGTTAAATTTGGTATTTAATGCCTTCAAATATCATGGCTAATTTTTTACTAGTTAAAAATGTTTTTTAAGCGGGTGCCCGCGTATCTCAGTTGGTTAAGCGACTGCCTTCGGCTCAGGTCATGATCCCGGAGTCCCGGGATCGAGTCCCGCATCGGGCTCCCTGCTCAGTAGGGAGTCTGCTTCTCCCTCTGACCGCCCCCCTCTCATGCTCTCTCTCTCTCATTCTCTCTCTCAAATAAATAAATAAATAAATAAATAAAATCTTTAAAAAAAAATGTTTTTTAAGCAAATCCAAATCAAACCTTTGTGGAGCTTTGAAACACCTTCCCAGAACCCTAGTCTTCCATTTAACAAAAACTGCCCTGAAATTTTATTACCCCTACATCTTATTTTTTTAATATGTATGTTATTTTGGCCTTATCTCTAGGAAAAGGAAATGTTTTCCAAGTTCAGTGGCTTAAACAAATTAATATGTGATGTAAATCATAGGCTGTCTATTTAAAAAGATGCTACAGATGCATATTTATTCTCTTTATTGACATGGGAAGATGTTCATACTATGTAGTTAATTTTAAAAGTGTGACAAACCAGTATATAATAGATTATCCTAATTTGTACATACATGTTTTTGTAAAATAAAAATATATAACATGTTAAAAATAATAGTACCCACAGTTCATTTAGTAACCGAATCCTATCTATTCTACATTCTCATAATTATTTAATCCATTTAACCCTTACTGTACCTCCTGCAGATCAGGCTCCCATTCTCTAACCTGGTTTTACCAATAGTCTCCCAACTCCCAGCCTACCCTGAATCCATTTTCTGCTGCAGGAATGACCTTTCCAAAGAATAAATCTGTCTTGATCTGACTTTTACAAATATTGTGTCTTCCCAATGGGTAATTGCTTGTTTGATGATTTTTAAACTTTCCGTGTATACACTGAGTTAATATACTCTGAGTTTATGATTTTCTTTTTTTCTTTCTTTTTTTTTTAAAGATTTTATTTATTTATTTGACAGAGAGAGAGAGAGAGCACAAGCAGAGGGAATGGCAGAGGGAGAGGGAGAAGCAGTCTCCCCTCTGAGCAGGGAGCCCGACGTGGGGCTTGATCCCAGGACTCTGGGATCATGACCTGAGCCAAAGGCAGAGACTTAACCAACGAACCACCCAGGTGCCCCGAGTTTATGATTTTCAAGAGCTAGTTTTGCTCATTGTGTTGTCAGGGTTTTTTTTTTTGTTTTTTTTTTTAAGATTTTATTTATTTAATAGAGAGAGAGAGAGGGAACACAAGTGGGAGAGGGAGAAGCAGGCTTCCCGCCAAGCGGGGAGCCCAATGCGGGGCTCGATCCCAGGACCCTGGGATCACGACCTGAGCTAAAGGCAGTCACTTAACCGACTGAGCCACCCAGGCGCCCCATGTTGTCAGGGTTTTTTGTTGTTGCTGTTGTTTGCTTTTTTTGAGAGAAAGTTTTATAAAGACAACAAAAATGTTAATTCTAAATCTCCCTAAAAAGGAATCTTATTAATAGCTCTTTTTAAAGAATCATTTCTGTTCTGTACGTTTTCTTGAATTTGAAGAGCTCTGGATTAAAATGTATGTTTTAAATTATTTTCTTTTTTGAGTAATCATAATTTCTTTTATCTTGACAAATATTTAAGTTTTTATTAATTGAAAAATATCAGCCACCAGTTGTTAGTGAGCCAGCTACCTTCTGGAAAAGTATGAGAAAAATTTATAGATGATCTCCTTTCCTGTCTATCCCTGGTCTCAAAAGAGAACCAAGGCCAGTCACTAATAAGAAGGAGAAATTATTCTGATCTTACGGTCTAATTAACAGTTTAACAGGAGTTTAACTAGCATGGATGATTAGGGCAGGCTGTAGGCTAAGAGCTGAAATATGCCTTTTCTTTGCCCCTGTGCTTAAGGCTGGGGGGAAAAAAAATCAACTGGAGGGATTTCTTTTAAATAGACATTAGGATTAGAATGGGGGCAGTTTGAATGTTTGAGATGCAAATGGAGAATTTCTGTCCATATGTTTAAAGATTGCCAATCAGAAGTCATCAATGGATAGGAAAAAGCAAGGTTTAGTAGAGGAAGCTTCAGAGTTAGCTCAACTCAGCCACTTAGCTATGGGACCTGGATCAAGCAAGTTAATCTGAGATCTCTGAAGATTGATTTCCTCATGGTTACAATGAGGGTAGTAATACTATTGAACATCTCACAGGGTCATTATGAGAATTAAGACTAAGGTATTTTAAAGCACCTACGCTGGCACATAGAGGGTACTCAGTATATGATAACTATTATTATTTTGTTGTTGCTGTTATTGTTGTTCTTTAGCTCTTCTTACCGCTGGTAGAAATAAGCAGTATTTATAGATTCTACTGGCCTGTCTGAGACCTAAATAGGGGAAGAAAGGATGGAGAGGAAGAATGGAGAAATGAAAATAGTAAGAGAACATGGAAGGGAAGGAAGACTATAATGATGAGTAGTAGAACACTACAAGTAATTGCCATAGTATTCCAGAATATTAACCAGCTTTGCAGTTGGTAATAATAATTTTATTTTTCTTCAGGATCATCAATTTGACTGTTAGGCTACTAATTTAAATGTGTTTATTTTGTTGGAAGATATTCTTGTATGTGGTCAACTCTAGGCTGATACCTTATTTATGACTTGTAGGTATCTGGGCCAGATAGGGGCTGAGTTATTTATTACCAACCATGGAAAAAGAGGGGTTTAGCCAACTTGTGTTGTTTAGCAAAGGAAAAGTTAAGTTGTTTGTAATTGGTGTATATTTATCCTTACATACCATGTGATATTTGCCTCCATTAAGGAATCGATAATAACCCTAGCCTGTACCCTAGTTAAGGAGAAAATGGGACTTAAATGGTTGGCCTAGTTTCCCTGCCCTGATTAAAAGCTTGGAGTCTACAACATTCAAAATGAAGCAATATTTTTAAGTTTACTTAAATATCTTTTTTCTTTTTTTCTTCTTTTTTTGTTCTTTTCAAGATTAACATCTGGTCCTGAGAACACACTTTTCCACTATGTTGCCTTAGAAGCTGTGCAAGGGATCTTTATTACTCCTACCCATGAAGAGGTGGCACAGCTAAGTGGCTCTATCCACCCTCAACTAATAAAGAATTTCCATCAGTGTTGTCTCTCCATTCGTGCAGTTTTCCAACAGACTTTGGTAGAAGAGGTATAAATATGGTTTTGTCAATTCTGTTTCCAGATTTCTAAATATTCTCTCTAAAAGCTCTTTAACCAGTATGTCCAACAATGACAGTTTTTATTTAAATTCTTTTTAGCAGTCACCCAATCTAAGTAGAGTACACAACCTAACTTGAGTGCCAAAAGGATTATACTCACAATATTTAACTTAAAAGCTTTGTTTCATAATACTGATTTTGATGTCCTGGAATGCTATTCCAGAAAATGGAGGACCTGTGTTTTTCTATAGCAAAGTAGAATATGATAGTTTATAATGTAAATTAGCCTCCATGTTTGATATCTGTGAGTCAGCCATTACTTGGACAGTAGTATCTACCAGTTAAGTCTGATAATTCTCTAAAGTATTCTATCAGTAGTATAAGGTATTTTGTAACATAATAGGGTAAGGTATAGTGATAGACACAATACTGTTGCAAATGTTTTAGCCACTTGGTTGATTTCTTGCTTGCTTGCAGTAATATTGTATATAATTAAAAAATCAATTAGATTATGTTAATGGCAGGAAAAAGTACGTGTTGATTTCTTGAAAAGGATAAACGTACAGAAGTTTGTCAGTGGTCAAACATCACACAGCCAAAAACAAAAAATAAAACCCCTTTCTGAAGATGATTATAATGTATATAGCAATATGTGTGTTAAGAATGCTAAAATTGTGAAGAACTTGGGTTTAAAGGTAGGAGAACATTGGGCTGGGAATAAGGAATCCTGGACTGAGCCTCGACTCTTCCTGTTTCCTCAGCTATAAAGTAAATGGGCTGAATTATGCTGTAGAACTCATTCAGCAATAAAATTCTGTGTCTTGTAGGATTTTTTTTTAATTTTCTTTTTTGAGAGAAAGAGAGCGTGCAAGCAGGGGGAGGGGCACAGGGAGAGGGAGAGAGAATCCTAGTAGGCTCCGTGCTCAGCGCAGAGCCCGAAATGGGGCTTGATCTCACCACCCTGAGATCATGACCTGAACCGAAATCAAGAGTCAGACACTTAACTGACTGAACCACCCAGGTGCCCCTTATAGGATTTCTTCTTTGAGCTCTCAGAAATTGGTATGCAGCAAAATGTTATGTCCAACCATATATCCCTATGTGCTTTGTGGTCTTATGCTTTTCCTTTCCTTTTAATATAACTGATAGATTCTATAAGGAAATCTTTCATTAATAGTTCAGTAATAGTAATGCAATTATTCAGTAATAGTAATGTAAGTTAGCCTTTCCCATATTATTGAACTATTGAGGTATCCACTATGCACCAGACACTACTCTGGTGCTGGGGATATAGCAGTGAACAAAGTCCCTTTCTTCATGAAGCTGTTACCAGTGGGAGAGTCCACATTGTGTGAATAGAGGTCTGGGTTCTTGGATTCCCCCATGAAAGACTTAACGTGAGGATCTGTGCTTGAATAAAAACAGCCAGAAGGAAGGTAACAAGCATAAAGCAGTTTATTAAGGATAGTACACTCTCAAGGTGAGAGAGTGGGCAGGCCCAGAGATGGCAACTGCATCAGGGTTAGGGGTATCTTTTCTTTTTATGTTTGCGTAGGTTATGGGTCACAGCTAGGACAGTCTCACACTGTGGTGGTTACCAGTCACCTAAGGGACTCCTTCTGGTTAGGAGTAGGTCCTACTCCCAGTTACTGGTCCTACAGGGTTCCTGCCAGAACTGTCATGGTCATCATGGAGGGGGTTGAAACCACAATGTAAATATATTATAATGAAGCTCTCCGTTACCCTGGGGCAGTTGAAGAGGATAGCACACTTCTCCACCCATGGCCCTTGGTCTGTCAGCCCAGGGCTGTTGGAAGCCTTAATTTAGGCCAAGATGTTAAAAGCCGCTAAGTCAGGATGTTGTGCCCTCAGGCTTCTAATGTGTCACGTATTTATCACCACCTTTGCCTCCAGCTCACGTCTAACTAACCGCCTGCTCTATCAAAGCCTCTAATGGGAAAGACTAATGAACTGGCAAGTAGTATAGTATGTCAGGTAGGATAAGTTTCAAGAGGAATAGTAAGATAGGATCATATTTTAACAAAGACCTGAATGAAGTGAGAAAGCAGTCTGGAGGCAGGGCTTCCAGACAGAGGAAGACAAATGCAAGTGTGCGAAGCCACAGAAGTAGGAGTGACTGCCAGAGCCAGCGGGGAGGAGAGTGCTAGGAGTTGAGATGGCAGGGGTTAGCAGGGCCAGATTGCACATGGCCTGGTAGATTTATGGACTTCGGGGTTTGTTCCGAAGGAGATGGGAAGCTCTTGGGACAGTTCTGAGCAGAGGAAGGACAGGATCCTATATTTTTGAAAGGATCACTCAGGCTACTACTGTATGAAGAACAAGCTCTGTAAGGTAGCGAGGCTGGAGGCAGGGACCAGTCAGGAGGCTATGGAAATTCTCAAAGCAAAAAATGATAATGGCTTCTGGATTCTGGATATATTTTGGAGGGTGAGCAAAAAGGATTTGTTGACCGATTAGAGAAGGATTTTGAGAGAAACAAAAGAAACAAGGATCACTCCACTAAGTTTTAGCCTGAGCCTTACAAAAAGTCTTTTTATTCCAAATGAGTCCTTGTTTTGCTAATAATTTAATCAATGGGAAATTTAGAGTATATGCATGAAAGGAAGAACAATACTGTTTTAAGTATGTGTTTTAATTTTATTATAAAATTATCTATTTATTAACCTAGTCATTAGTAATCTATTTATTAAGCACCTCCTGTGTACCAGGCCTTGCTGCTTCAAAACACACAAAGATGAATATCACATTGTCTCTGCCCTGGAAAAAAGCATATAATCTACTGGGGAAGACAGACCTATAAACTGCTAATATAATTAATATAAATACTAATAATATAGGGCTATGAACAAAATGCTTTCTGGGAGATTTCAAGGACACTTTATCTATGAAATCTCTTAGGAGATGGTATTTAAACTAAGTATGATGAAGAATAGATATTTTCCCACAGATAGGAAGAGTGTCATTCCAGGCACTTAAGTATAGGATCAGCCAATTCAAATCTGTATGTGAAAACATTTTAAAGTAACATTATTAATACCAGTTAATACTAATAATACATTTAATTTACAGAAAAAGAAAGCACTAAATCGTGGAGATCATTCAGGTTCTACAAATTCCATATCTTCTCTTAACCCTGTGAAAGAATATGGTGTGTTGTTTGAATGCTCACCTGAAAAGTGGACAGATCAGAGAAAAGCACCACCAGTTATGGCTTACTGGGTAGTAGGGTAAGTGGGGAGAAAAAGTATTTGAAAGTGAAGTAAAAAGTTAGAAAAGTGAAAGAAAAAAGAGATAACCATGTTAAGAGGTAGGCATGGAATTATTAATCTAACTATAATATATATTTTTAAGGCTTTTATTTCTATATTTAAGTAATTTCTCCACCCAACGTGGAGCATGAACTCATGACCCCGAGATCAAGAGTTGCATGCTCTTCTAACTGAGCCAGCCGGGTGCCCCTCTAACTACTATAATATTTTAATACATTTTAGAATTTTGTTTTATTTACTAAGTATCTCCTCCAAATTCCTCTCAAGTCTTTCTTTTTTAAAATTTATTTTTAAATTCAAGTATAATTAACATACAGTGTTATATTAGTCTCAGGTATAAAATATAATGATTCCACAATTCTATATATTACCCAGTGCTCATCATGATAAGTGCACTCCTTATTCCCCATCACGTATTTCGCCCATCCCCCCACCCACCTCTCCTCTGGTAACCACCAGTTTGTTCTCTGTATTTAAGAGTCTGGTTTTTGGTTTGTCTCTTTTTCTTTGTTTGTTTTGCTTCTTAATGTCTACATGTGAGTGAAATCATATGGTATTTGTCTTTCTCTGACTGCCAGGGCTTTTTCTATTAAAATAAAAAGCTGATTCAATTACCTTAGAAAATTATTGTAGTAATACGCTAAAAGATAATGATTCCACAATTTTACTGCTATTCCCTTCCTTCTGTCCCTCCTTCCTTCTTTTCTAACCTCTCTCCTTTCTTTTCCTCTTCCTTCTTCTTCCCCTCACTCCCATCCACCCACTACAAGACCCTGCCTGACCTAGCCCTTGCCCACCTCTTTCCACCTTCTATCATTCCTTCTCCGTCCACTCTGCACAGCCACATTGGCATCCACTGACTTGTTCCTGCAATCCATTCTGTGTGAATGTTCTGCCTCTTAACCTTTGTATGTCTGGTTCCTTGATATTCAGATCAGTGCTAGCCTCAAAAAGAGAATCCGGGATCTCTTTCCTGCATTAAAGTGGCTACTCAGTTATTATTTATTTTCTTTTTTTTTATTTTATCATGTCATGTTAATCACCGTACATTACATCATTAGTTTTTGATGTAGTGTTCCGTGATTCATTGTTTGCGTATAACACCCAGTGCTCCATGCAGTACGTGCCCTCTTTAATACCCATCACCAGGCCAACCCATCCCCCCACCCCCCTCCCCTCTAGAACCCTCAGTTTGTTTCTCAGAGTCCATAGTCTCTCATGGTTCGTCTCCCCCTCTGATTTCCCCGCCTTCATTAGCGCTCACCATAGCACATACCCTCCCCAATGTCTGTCACCCAGCCACTCCATCCCTCCCACTCCCCACCATTTTCTTGTCTCACCTTCACTAGAAAGTTAGCTTTATGAGGTCAGGAATTGTGTCTGTCTTGTCCACCACTGGTACCTGCAACAGCACCTGGCACATAGGCACTTGATAAATATGTAACAGTTTAGTAAATGGAGTTGTGCTTCACAAAATGTGGTGGTGGGAGGGTGGTATGGCAAACACAAATATAAAGTCATAGTCATTGCATGAACGGTCTTATACCCACCAGAAGAAATATGAAATATGCTCAAATATATATGTATTTGTGGATAGAGAGAGAGATTTTTTTTTTAGATAGATAGAATAAATTAGTTGATACAGCCAAATGGTATGGGAGTTCTGAGGATGGGGCAAAAATCTACATTGGGATTATAAGGAAAGGCTTACAGATTCCATTTGATCTAGTTTGAAAATGAATTAGATTTGAATAGAACATTCTAGGAAAAGGATAGTATGAACAAAGACCGAAACAAGGGAAATCATAAGGCATAGCAGTTGAGTAGACTGACTTGCTAGGATAAGGGAGTGACAGATGCAAAGATAAAATGAAAGATCAGTTTGGAAAGCTAGGTTAGGACCACTGCAGAGAGCCTTCAATTCCTGACTAAGGAATTTAATTTTGAGTGAAATGTTGAGGCACTGAAGGTTCTTTGAATTGGGGTAAAGAATTGGTGGAGGAAGGGACACAGAGTTAGGTGAGACCAATGTTACTAGACACCTACCATGCAGTACTAAACTATATGACAAACCTTATCCAAAGCAGTAATCCTGTGCGTTGGTGCATGAGATTTAGAATCACCTGAGTCACTTGTTAAAATCAGAGATGCCTGTGGCCCACCCCAGACCTACTAACGGAATCTAAGGCAGTGGTTCTCTGTAATTTTAGTAAGCTCCTTGTGACTGTGATGTGTAACCAAGCAAGCTTGGGAGGAGCATCAGCATAAGCTCAACTCTGTGTAGTGTGATCAGAGCTGTGCTATTGGAAGATTAAGCTAGGAGCAGCAAAGGGCCCGTGGCATGGACACAGAGAAAATAGAGATAAAAACAGGCATACATGCAGGTATACAGCGGAGCCTTCACTACATTCACAACAATTGGACTAGAAAGAATCAAGAGGTATTGAATTATGATGATGCAGATCTATATAGAATAGAGAAATTTAAGGAAGTCAGACAAAATATCCCTGATTTAAATTGTCTGATTTACATATACTAGTGTTGACTAAATCTTTAAAAAAATCAAAGTTTCAGTTGTATTTCCAATTTAATACTGTCTGCAAAAAGAGCAATCATATAATGTTTTTGTTGTTGTTGTTTTTAAGATTCTATTTATTTGTTTGAGAGAGACAGAGATAGTGACAAGAGAGCGCGAGCAGGGAGGAGAGGGAGAAGCAGGCCCCCCGCTGAGCAGGGAGCCCAATTCAGGACTTGATCTCAGGACCCTGGGATCATGACTTGAGCCGAAGACAGACGTTTAATCCACTGAGCCACCCAGGCGCCCTCATATAATGTTTTAATAATAATTAACATTTAGAAAGTAAATGGCAATGTTTAATAGCTATTTGTGCTTAATGATGGTAACACAGTTGGCTTTATTGTAACAATAATGACTAAATTAATATCTTAAAACTGAGGTATATGGTAATATATATTGATAAAATGGGCTTTTTACACCCTGGAAAAATAAAAATAATTTACCTAAGGCATATATTATTTATTTAAAAATAAATCTAGCTGTATTTCCCCCTACTATAGATTTAGATTAGTGGTTTTTGTTTTTTGAATTTCTGAAATGAGTGTGTTCTTTTCCTCTGCAGGAGACTCTTTCTTCATCCCAAACTTCAAGAACTTTATGTCTGTTTTCATGATTCAGTCACAGAAATTGCCATAGAAATGGCTTTTAAATTGTTCTTTGGATTAACCTTGTAGCTATGTTTTCTTGATGCACAGCAACTGTGCGTGGAACATTGAACGGTGTTAGAATTGCTGAAACCCATACACAAGAAGATAAGGGTTAACTTCTCTTAACTGTTCAGTTTTGAACATAATAATGTTAAATAGTGAGATGATATGCTCTTGGATTTGATGCACTAAATCTTATGTAGTATTGTGAGACTTTTGAAAAGGTACTTGATCAAAATATAAAGAAGGGATTGTTAACTTATTTCCATTTTGGTATATAATGTTAATTTATTGACTAGTTTGAAATAATGTGAAGTGTTTTATATAAGATTAATGGAGGACATTTATCTTGAAAGAATATACGATTCATAAATTGTGTATTGTTCTCAAGACTAATAATAATGTCTGGTAAAAGAATCACAAAATCAGGAGGGTGTGACCAGGTCCTGTAACTAATTAGTGCTGGGACCATGAGCAAGTTTTTGTACCTCTTTGAGTTCAGAATTTTCATTACAAATGCAATGACTGTATTGAGACGTCTAAAGTCCCTCTTAAGTAAAATGTGCGGCTTTTTTTCTTCTTGCCTACTGCTCACTACCTAAATTTGTAATGTCCAAGTACTGATTCCCTATTAGATCAAATTCTTTTCTTTAGTTTAACTGTTTTAATAGATACCTCACCATGGGGTAGAAGAACTGAGGAATGAAAATTAAACTTATTTTTCTATTTATTTGATTTTCTTTACTCTTTCAGGTCAGCTCTGTTTTGACTAGGATATAGTTTTTAAACTATTTATACATAAACTTTTATTATTTTTCTTTTTATTGAAATATATTCAGGTATGCATACCATCTTATATAGTTCATGAATTTCAGGACAGCTATATGTAAATCTTTTTTAAACCTAATCATGTTAAAAACACTGAAAAAGTTGGGTTAAAGAAATCCTGTGGTGACTTCTTCTGTCAAATACTAATTTTTGCCTTATAATTATGGTTTGTTATGTATTGGGTTTTCACAAAGGAAGGTATCTTAATGAACAATAGTTTACTTGACCTTTAGTAGAGAATGAGAACTAATGGGATAAGAATTTTCTTTGGCTGTGAGAATTTGGTAGATTGAGAAAAAAGGAAAATATAACAAAATACTGAATTTTTAATTAACATTTACCCAATGGATTCTCCTGAATTCTCACATGCCCCCAAGACTACAATACTGGGTTTTTTCTTCTTCAGGACTTAAGCTTTGGAAGGGAAATTTTGCCAACACATCTAAAGTCCGTCTCTATTGCCCTCTCCTCAAACACCTGGGACATGAGCCCTCCAGGTTAGACCTAACTGTAAAACACAGTTGGGGTGCACCATTTGAAACATTTGGTCTTAGAAGAAACACTGTTACCTCTTTATAAATCAGCTTAAGAGATTTTCACCCAGGTATTTAAAATGCAAACCACTGTATTTGTCCTGTTACTGATTTGTGGGCCTTAAATTTAGCATTTAAATCAGAGCAAGAAACTTCCGTTCTTGAAATGTACAAAATGGCTTGACGTATCCTCCCCTTAAGATCACAATATTGGTCAGAATGGTAGACTTTTAACCACTGCCTTAGCCCTGCTTGTAGACATATGTGAGTAATAAGGCACTTTGTTTAAAAGTATTTATTCAATGTCTTAAATTTCTTATTATGTCCCCCAAAACACCATGAGCTATTTTCAATACTGAGATTTATTAAAAATTGTAGCTATTAGTCACCTCAGATTTTCAAACAGACTAAACTAAAACCTGGGGTTTTATTATAAGGGACTTTTTTGTTTCATTTAATGAAATTTTGGTCTTTTGAACTACTTTCCTGGTATCAGAGCATCTTCAGACCACCATTCAATAACAAAAATAAAAAGACAAAATAGACTACTTATCTTAATATGAGGAAAATCATTTGCTGTATTATAGATGTATACTATAATGTCCATGTTGCAGAGACATTGCATTTTTTTGAGACATTGCATTTTTAAGAAATAAAACCAGATATCGTGGTTGTCATCTCTAAATGGATACTGAAGCATTGTAACTAAACCTAGCTGCCCATTTTTCGAAATATGTTCAGATACACATCTGAAAGATCAAGTTAATTATTGGCCAATGAGTGCCTATCTGCCACTTGATTAAATAAAAGGGGACAAAGTGACAGTGTAGATACCCCAGAGGTGTGCTTTGGCTGATACAGAAACATTCTTTTTTTTTTTTTTTAAAGATTTTATTTATTTATTTGAGAGAGAGAATGAGAGACAGAGAGCACAAGAGGGAAGAGGGTCAGAGGGAGAAGCAGACTCCCTGCCGAGCAGGAAGCCCGATGTGGGACTCGTTCCCGGGACTCCAGGATCATGACCTGAGCTGAAGACAGTCGCTTAACCAACTGAGCCACCCAGGCACCCGATACAGAAACATTCTTAAGTTGAATTTTATGTTCCCTTTCAGACTATTAATGCAAAAGATTATAGAATATCATTTTTTGAAATATCGAGTACTGTTTTATCACCATCATATATCTTTTAGCCCCCCAAAATTACATTTTAGATTCTACACCTTCCTCCTTTCTCCCTCTCCTTTCTTTACTGTTCTTTTGTTTGTTTCTTTTTGTCAGGTTAGAGAACCGTACTTAGCGAGGGAGTTTCTTATTTGTGCCAAGGAACTGTTGATGATGATACATACTGGCAAGATAGTAAATTTGCAGTGCCTGCTTTTTTATATTTCTGACACAAATGGGGAAAGTCATGAAACCAATTTACTAGGTTTGTCTGCTTTAAACATTCTTGAAAATAATATTGTGAATAATTTTTTTTGTCTGTTTAAGTTCCCTCTAAATAGTGCCTGGCACATATCACGTGTGCTATAAAAGTGTTAGCTATTCCTACTACCACCATTTATTATTATGAAATATCCATTGGTTAAAAAACCAAGGTGTCAGCTAAATCATACCTGCTACTGTACAAAATGTTGGAAAGAAGCTGAGAAAAAATATTCAGCACTAAACACTTTTGAGAACAAGGATGTATACTTTGGATATTTTAAAATATATTATTAGATGTTACTAAAACTTTATACACTAAACTGTGTGAAAATAATTTTGTAGAGTTGTAGTTCTATATCCTATATAATTGAAGCTATTTTTATATTGATAGTCTTTAATAAAGATGGTTTGGAGGTTTATTTGCAGTTTTGTTGTCTTTTCATGCATTCATCCAACAAATAATTGACTTTCTGCTCTGTGCCAAGCACTGTTCTGGATGCCGGGGATAAAGCAGTGAACAAAACAGCTAAAAATTCCTGCCTTCATGGACCTGATGTTCCCGTGGGGGAGGCAGGCCACAAATAAGACAATAAGTAAAATATATTGATAAAAGCTAAGAGGAAAAAAAAAAACTGAAGGAAGAAAATGGGATATGAAGTGTGAGAAATGGGGTGACCAGGGAAAGGGTTGCTGAGATGATCCTAGACCTGAACTAAGAGAGAAAACTAACCATGCTGATTTCTAAGGAAAGCAGAGTGCACAACTCAAAGGCCGAGACACTATACTTTTAATATCAACATATCAATCACCAGAACTTTTTTTGTTCCCTAAATCAGTAAATAAAATGCAATGCAGCTAAACATTTTTAGCTCAGTGTATTGAAAAGAGCTGATTCATAGCTCTTAAGGTAAAAAAAGAAAAAAAGCTACATTTCTAAGTACTTTCACTTTTGCTGTCTTCTATGAATGAGTGTATGTCAGAAATACACTTGATATCATAAAGCAATATGCTATAAACACTGTCAACTATAGAGTCGGAAGGGGTTGAGGGGCAGGGGGAGGGGGGCAAGGAAGGAAGAGAAACTCTCCCTGGAGAGCAACAGAACACTTGATTTTTCTGTCTGAGATGTGTATGATCCCTGTGACCAGAGAAGTGCCTTTGACCTCTCTTGGCACCTTAAAAAAAAGAGTCTTGCCTGGAGTGTGACTCAAGTATTCCCTCTGCCCCCTTAAATTTCTCCCTGTATGCTTGTTAATACTCCAAATTCCCTTAAAGGAGACCGAAAACTTTAATTATTCATATTTTTGCAGATGAAAAATCAATCACTTCTTGAATTTGCAATGGATTTCACAAAGGATTTTGAAGTTCGTGCAATAAGAAGACTAAATCTTTTAAGTCTAGGAATAATGATTAATGCAATTGTTTCAGAAAGATTAATCTGGCAGCAGCATGTAAAATGGAGAGAGATTTGGCTGAAAAACCAGTTAAGAGTCAAGCTGCTATGGAAATGAAGATAGCACTAAACATGGTACCAGTAGGACTTGCCAACTGGTTTTATACGAGGTAATCAAAATATAAACAAAATTCCCGCCCTGGAATCCTGGCCTAAATGTGTGGTTTTGTACTAGTGACTAGTATTAAAAGTAAAAACACACTTAGATAATAAAAAACTGGAATCTCAAGTTCAAAAAAGTAACTCATTCATGTTTTTGTAGATGTGTTTCAAGACTGAGGTCCTACAGAGTAAGAGATGATAAAATAGAATCTCTACTTATTAGAAACCATCAAACAAGCTATAAAAAGAAATCAGGAATGTATTATATGCTATCACAGAAGGATCTCCAGGATGTATAAAGTGAAAAAAAGCAAGGTGAAAGAAAATAGAGCAAGAGACATTATGTGCAGGATAGAGTACATCTACTGTGTATTCTTGCCCAAAGTCAGACCTGAATCTGATAAGCTTCCAGATGAATTCTCAAAGTGTACTATGAGTATAGATGTCACCAAGCCCTCTTCTGAGACACCATGAGATAAAAACTTTTCTTATTAACACTGAGACGCTATTTGCCTGTTGCACTCTCATTCTCAGTGCAGTGGAATTTTCCAGCAACTACAGGATGTGTGGTATTGCAGTAGAGTGGGGACAAAAGTCAAGCATTAAAGAGATTTTTCAAAAATATAAAACAAGGCTATTCTCATTTTTTTTGTTTCGAAAAATAGTTACTTTTTATTTAAAATGTTATTTATATCATGGGTTATTTTAAGTTAATATTTTTAAATTTTCCGTTTCAGTTTCTGAAACGGTATCAATATGTGTAACACAAAAACAGAAGCATCCTTGTGGTCCTAATTTTTTAAGTGTAAAGGGGTCGTAAAATAAAAAGGCTGTGAATCACTGTTCTAGAACAGGTCATTGGTTCTGAGCCTTGCACATTAGAATCCCTAAGCCCAAGTATTAGTTAAAACAGCTCAGCCCGCTCTCCTTCGGTCAGTATGGATTGGGACCACAGCTCCAGATAAAATTACCAATTTAAATAAAATATAGAAGAAAGAGGAACATGTTAAATTA